TAAACAGGCTTCATATGCCTACATTTGAGCCTGGGAATAAAAAAGAAAGGCTAAATTCTCTTTAGCATGTAAGATGACATGTCATGTTAACTACCAGCTTCAGAAAACAATGAGCAGAAGGCACAAATTAGGCTCTGAGTCTTTAAAAGAAGTATTTCACTCTTCTTCAAATCCATCTCAGGATACCAAGGAATACTCCATCTCTTCATAGTTGTTTCTGCCCTTCCTCTCCTAACACTCAGCTCTAGCCCATGCAGACCCTACAGCCCAAGGCTCCCAAGGAGGCCACCACCAAGAAGCCTGAGGTGGTTCTTGTGGGACCATGCAGCAGGACAGGCATGGGAGCTGCAGCCTCCCATGGGAATGGATTTTGGTTTCTCTACTCTAGATGTCTCTGTGAAAGTTTCATGCCCTGTGTGAAGTAATCCAAGATCTGTTGATTAGAGAGAGATAAATCAGCTACCTCACATACGCTGCAGGGTGAGAAACTGCACCTTGGCAGCTGGATCACAGTAATTTGACAGAGACAAGTAGGTTTGGATAGGCAAGCCCAGCAAGTAACCCTAAGAGAGTTTTGAAAAGCCACATGAACTGCTTGTGCTCCAGTCAGTTTTGTGCCTACTGGGCAGTGTGTGGGATCGCTTCCTGCCACAGGCCTCAGGGGAAATAGCTTTCCCTCAGGTGCCTCGATTTCTGCATCTGTGCCACAGGTACTCGGAGAGGGATGGCTTTGTAAAGTATGATCTGATGAGGAATGCTGCAAAGGAATGCTTAAAAGAAAAAAAAAAAAAGGGTAGGGTTTTTTGGGGGAATGAGTTTCGGGTTTTTTTGGTGTGTTTTTTTGTTAAGGGAAGGCAAGCAAGAAAACACACATAAAAAAAAAGATTAGGCATTGTTGAAATGTATTGACCTCAGCTGCAGGGTTATTCACATTATAAAGGATTCTTCATTAAGTGGAGCTTTGCTGCTTGCAGACAAGGCCTTCTGGAGAGGGCACCTCCATCGCCAGCTCCTGCCTGCTGTTCTGCGCAGCACGGCTGTGTGACCCAGCACGCCACCAGGCCAGGCAAACACAGAACCACCGCTACCAAGAAGTGGCCAATCTGGCTCCCATTGTAGCCAGGTAATGAGGGTGAAAGGAAGCCTGAAGCAGAACAAACTCTAATGATCCACGGGTCTGTTAATTTTCTTTCCTCTTCATTTCTCTCTTTTAATGGACAGTGAGCTTGAGGCCAACATTTGTGGGGAACTCAGGATGTGGGGAATATTTCCAAAACCTATACAAAGGCCAGGCATATAGAGAGACTCCAGAATAGGAGATGCTTCAGGAAGAAAAGCAAAAGATGCAGGATTTTGCATCTGGGAGCAGAACTAGGAGCCAAACGTAGGTGGGAGAAGAGAGCTTATTGGGAAATGGGAGGTTGCAGTATGAAGCTGGAATGTTGCCACAGTGTGGACTAATGCTTTGGCAGCTGCAAACAAAAGGAAGGAGGAATGTAAGATGTAACACGAAGAAAAACTGTGAAGAGATATCTGGAAGTATCACTGCAACTCCACATATCACCATTTGTGAAGAAACAGAAGAGGCAAAGATGATGCTAAGTTTGGCAGAGGGAGGATGGTGATGCTACTGACAAGGAAAAAAGAGTGGGAAGGAAACAAGTTTGGATAGAAAGATGTGAGAGATAAGGCTTTGCTTCTCCCAGTCAGAAACAAACTTCCATCTTAACACTGTCTCAGAAAAACAGAGATCGATTATTAGATTTTCTTCTTCTGTTTTTTTGGTGGTTTTTTTTTTTGTTTGTTTTTTGGGGTTTTTTTTGTTTTCTTTTTGGTTTTGGGTTTTTTTGTTTTTGGTTTTTTGTTTTTAAAGTAGGGATGACTGCATAAATTAGGAAGTCCATGTCCACCTCCACCATGTCCTTGCTGTGCCCTTGTCCAGAGGAACTGAACCTCAAAGAAACTGCTCAACCTTACATCTGTCTAAAATGCAGAAACTTGCAAATGGTTCTGTAGAACAATCCACCTGATGTTTCACCTGCTTTAATTAAAATGTAAACATGCATTAGTCAGGATCTCAGTCTGGGCTCTGATCCTTCAACCTTTTAAATCCACTCATCTGCAAAAGCACAGCCAGATTTTTAGCTTCTATAATAAATAGACAGGGCCTAAGTCTCTTTAAGTCACTTTTCCATCTGTAAAATTCCCAATGTATTAACCATTCAAACATTGCAGACAAAATAGAAGATGGGAAATAATTTGGGATATTTTTGAAAAATTAATTTTGTTGCATTGTAATAACAATCTAGTGCTTCCTTACACCTGTTCTCAAAGACAGTAATAGGACGGTGATGATTATCTCAAATTGTTATTGTTATTACTGTCCCTTGCTGCTCATGTACAGTAACACTAACGGTTCTTTATACCCACCTGTATCAGGAAACCAGACAGTTAGAAAAACCTTTACTACGTATATTTCTGCTGTGTTGTTTTCATTTAAAATATTTATGTTGCATTGTTTGGTTTCTTTTTCTTCTCCAACCCTGTAATTATTATTTGTAAAGGGTATATATTGCACAGAAAATGGAATTTCTCTATGCTATCACTGTATTTTTTGCAGAAGACAAATATAGAGTGCATATATATATATATATTTCTGTCTCCCCTTATTCTTCTAAGTTTCTTTGAAACAGGGTGCCCAGTACTGCTGATGCTGGAATTACTGTTAGTCAGTATCAGCACCAGTGATAAACTCCAGCTAGTGTTTTCGTTAAAGGTCACTTGTAATTAGTAGTCATTGTCCTTTGAATTTAACAATGGGAAAATAAAACTTTATAGCGACAGATTGGCCTGGCCATCAAAATTACAGCACTTTAGCACTCAGGAGAGAGGATTGCATGACACACTATCTACCCGTCTGATAACAGCAGCTAGCTAAGAATTCAAATGCGAGATGCAGAAAGCCTGTAAAAGAATAAAAGGAGAGAAAGGAGAATTAACTGTGCAGATGTTACATGATACATTATACTGACACTTCTACACTCCTCTTTTAGTGAGCTGGGCCTTGTCTTGTACCCACTGAAGCGCAGATGGGGCACTGCTGCCTATTTTCTGGAGAGTAGCTTTCAAACCCGAGGTGGTACCACATCCCTACCTTCTGCAGAAATTTGGCATGTGTGTGCATGACTCTTTAGTGAAATTCTAAGTCTCAACTTCTTCACAAAGTTGTACAGTTGACAGCTTTCTGCGCATTTGTTTCAGCTGCTGCAGGTAAATAAAAGCTCTCTCCACCTTGTATCAGTTTACAAATACTGACACAGATTCGATGCATCCATCAGGAAATCTCCCAGTTTGCATATATAATATGGATATGATAAGGATTTGACTCTTATTCCAGGCACTTTTGTAGAATTACTGTTTATCAGTTTATGTGCAAGGTAATAAAGTGAAGAAGAAAATGTTTCTAATTCCATCACAAAGGACAGATGGGAACGGGAGCTACTGCTAAATCCAGTAAATACAAGACGTCCTTCTTGATACAACTGACTTTAAATGTACTTTTGGGCATGTTTATTTTAGCTACTAAGACAAATTAACTCAATATTTAAAAAAAAAAAAAAAAAAAACCAAACCACAAACATCCCCAGTGTCTGCTTTAAAATCTAACAGGAAGCGAAGATGAACCAGCCAGACACTGGTACTTATCAAATCTGAAAGAAGGGAGTTGTCTGGCTGGATTAAAACGGATGAGGTTTGTTTGAGTGATGACATTTGTCCTACCATTGCTGAGGAGAATAATTTTGCAGCACTTTCTTCATCTTATGCTCCTGAAGATGGGAAGATTTGTCCTACTGCACAAATACTTGCACATATAGAGGGGCACATTTCCACACATCGCAGATGCTGAAGAGTACTGAAACTTGCATTATCTGCAGTGCCCTTCCCAAACCACTGCAAACTTGAATACATTCCTGAAGCCCTGCACATCATTTCCCATTTTTGCCAAGGGAGAGCTCCTTCACTAAACAGTTGACCATTCTGGGCTGAAATATTTCCTTCACTAATTTATAAGATGCAAGTAATTAACAGTGGGCGTGCGTGTCTGTGCGTGCGCACGTGCCCGTGTGTGTGTGTCATTTATTTTTATTCACACTAATGCCTCTTTTAAAGCAGACCTAGCTAGCATGAAATAAATTCACCCATGAAATCAAACTAGGAAAACACAAAGCTAGCAAACAATATCCGAATTGTTACCAATGAGCCAAACTCCGAATTTTCCCCCCACTTAGAGCACAGGGATAAAATTACAGTGATTTATAATTTGCCATATCGAGGGCTATTGTTTTTGGAAATGTTGGTTACTTGCTAACCAACAAACGTGTACCGTTTTAACTTCGGAGCCAAAAGACAAGAAGCCAATCAGAGTCACCGTTCATAGCTGGAATAAAAACCCCGAATCCCAGCAATTCCGCTCCGTTTTGCCTGGGAGCGTGTCCAGGAGCGGGATTTCTTGAACAGAAAGTAACCTCTGAAAGGAAAAGTATTTCCAAACGTGTCATGTGGGGCTCTGTTGTTTCTTTTATTTTTTCCCTCCCGTCTCCTACTTAAACGAGAAAGAAAGAAATCCTGACAGCGGGAAGACTTGTCAGCGTTTAGCCATCCATAAAAATGTTTTTCCCCGCGCTCCTCCTTGCGCTCGCCGTCCTGGCGTCGGTCTGTCTCATCTCGCTGCTCTGCGGCCCCAGCCCCCGCCGCACACCGCCCCAGCGCAGCGGGGCCGGGGCCGCCAGCCGGGGGGACACCGGCCCGGGCGCCGCCGCGGCTGCTCCGCCGGGCGCACGGGGGGATGGCGCGGCCGCCGCCGCCCCGCGACCCAGCACGGCTCGGGGATGGATGCGGGATGGCCCCGGCGCGAAGTTTGGAGCGACGGCACCGTTCCCCGTCCCCTCTGCTTCCCCCTCCGCCCTTCCCGGGACGCGGCCGGGAGCCCCGGCTCTTACCTGCCACGGGCGCGGGCTGGGGTCTCGGCGCGCCGCGGGCGGGAGCGCGGCTGCAGCTGCGCGGCGGCGGCGGGGCCAGGGCGCAGCGGCAGCGGCAGCAGCAGCCCCGGCCGGCGTCAGTCAGGCGGGAGCCGCCAGGCTGTGTTAGAGCGCCGGGCTGGACCGCGGCCAGCAGCGCCGCGGCCGCTGGCCCGCCCCTCGCCCCTCCGCCCCCGCGCCCCCCCGGCCGCGCTCACACACACACACACACACACACACACACACACACACCACAACACACACATACGAGATCGCTCACACACAGTCACACACACATAAGCGCACATCCACACGCTCGCACACGCTCGCACACTTGGCACCGCGCACACACACGCACATCCATCCGCACAGATGCAGATACACGCTCAAGCACACACGGACGAGCACACGCCCACGGTGAGTTGCACGCACACACTTACACGCACACTCGCACCATGCACCTTCCCGCACCCGCACCCCCCGCACGCCGCCCCTCGCCGCGCTCACCGCTCCGCACCCGCCGAGTGCTGCCCCTCCGGCACACGGCACCCGAGACGGAGCTCACCCGCAGGCACGGGCACACACGAACCACCCCCGCGGAACCCGCCCTCCGCGCACCCCCCGCTGCCGCTCGCCCCCAGCCCCGCGCCAGCACAGCCGCCTCGGGGCTGCCATTCCGCCGGCCCGGGATGCCCGCGGAGGGGGTGCCCCGATGCCTGCCCTGCCCGGAGCCGTGCGGGGCCGGCGAGGCGTCTGTGTGTGACCGCCGGGCCGCCCCGGGACAGGTCCTTCGCCCGGTGCCCCCGCAGCCGGCCCTTCCCCGGGTCCTTCTCGCCAGTCCCCGAGGATGGACACAGTGGCCAAGCGGGGCGTGGGCCAACTTCAGCCCCGTCCTGCGCTGCTGCGAGGGCTGCTGACCCGGCTTTGGGGCACGGGAGACAAATGCCGGCTGCGGAAAAGACTTGGAATCAACGTCGTCCCTCTGGGACGGCTGGACAGCACAGCTGCGACAGGTTTGGGGATCAGACTGCGCCTTCCCACGCCGGGCTGTGCGGAGGTCCCATCATTTCTCGGTCTAGTCAGAGAACACCAAAATGCAGCTGGCACTGATAAGCAGATGCATTTCCTGCTTCAGAGATTACCTATTAAACCCTCATATTCCCTAGAAGTAAGTTTCTCTAGCTGTGTAGCGTATTGCATTAGCCGTAATAAGGAAGGGCTGAAAGAAGGGAAGTCAAGTGGCTTCAAGGAACTAGACATAAGAGCTACTCGTGAAACTGGGGCTCCAGGCAGTGCTAGGAACAGGTACTGTCTGAACCTGACCCTGGCTGCATTGAGGGGCTCCAGTTAAATTGCACTGTGCCTTTTGAGGTCAATCAATAAATATGATTAAAGATACCATCCTGCTGACATTTTCACCAAAATTTTTTACATTGTAAAACATGACAGCAAAGCTAATGTTGTTTGAGTAGACATCAAAAAGCCACAATGCAATTACGGCTCCGCAGCACAGTTTTATCCAAGCATGCGTGCGTGAGGCTATGGTGCAATCGGGAGATAAAAATGTAATGCCCCAAAATATCTGTTTCCTGCTTTGGACTCAGTAGTCTTCAAATACCAGTGGCTTCCCCACTACTTGTCGGGTTTCTCCTACAGGAGACTTCTTGACAGATGAGTGGCAGAAAAGATGCTGTTGATTAAAAATCACTGTAAATATTAATAAAGTGCCAATCATATATCCTAATTCTGTATGCTTTCAGATTTTATGTTCACAATGCTGTTTATTTTTAACTGAAATCATTACTCTGCAAATGTATACATGGGCAGTTGTGGAAGGTAGCGGGGGATGGATTGGCAGAGGTGTAGTGTGTAACTTACTGAAGCACAACCAAATTCTGCGGGTCTCACTGCATCTCTTTCAGGTTTTGAAACCTCTGGTTTTTTCATGCCTCTGCTCAGAGTTTCTGCTACCAAAAAAGAGGTGGCAGGACAAGGCCATGCTGGTGCACAGCCTGCTGTGCTATCTCCAGTGTATTTTCATTGGCATGGTACATTAAAATACCAGTACTGCTACTGGAGTGATCCCAACCAGCAGAGCTGCTGCCTAGATTGAGCAGTCAGTTCCTAAAACTTTACTTTGATTGAAGCTTCCAGTTAAATAGGCATAAATTATTTGTGAAATGACTTGATTGCATTCCTATTTGTGTGATGGTGGTTTTAACTACCCCACAACTAGAGTTTGATACATTATAGATTATATAGCAGGCAACAATTTTTTTGCATTCAGTTGTATTTCTGATCATATGGCATTCACACATACATCCTTTATTACAAGAGCTGCTGGTGTTACCTGTGATCTTCTCGGAACCTTTGGAATGATGGATCTCCTCAGGCCCAGTGCTCATATATTCCACCTGTCCTTTCCACTGTCTCCACACACACTTTCAGAGCCCAAATCCCTGAGCCCAAATCTTCTGCATGGCTTTCAAAGTCAGTGTCCTCTTTGTAAGGCTGTGCTCCTCCTGCCAGGGTGACTCATCACCTGTCACTCCTCTGCACCACCTGGGCTCTGCTAATTCCATTTCTCATTTGCCATTATCTCTCTCCAGTGCCTCATTTCCCATCTTGCCCTTAGTAGAAGCCCTCCCTTAGCCTGCACATGAGGTAACTTTTCAAATCCCCTCCTGTAAAACATGGACCAACCTTCTTTACTCATAAACAGAACCTTATTGGGGTATTCTTCTTATTTTGACCTGTATTTTGTCTTTTTGTACCGGGTAACTCTGTAAAGAAAACTGTCTATCATCAGGATAAGGTTATATAGAAAATAGTAAAGACTGGATGTAGCTGTAAAATGGATGGAACAGTACTAATGTCTTTTAGCACTGATACTGTGTAAAACATAGAATAACATGAATTTTCCACTTGGACAGAACTACAAGTTCCTGAGAGCTGTAAATATACTGACTCTGTAGGTACTGCTCCAGGGCTCCAGTGAAGTACTGGCAGTGTCCACCACTGAACAAGGAACAGCTGTTACAACAGCAGCGTCCTGTGCTGGGAGATGGAGATCCATCAAACAGCTCCAAGTGTGCTGCTGCAGGCGCTAGAAGATTCCTAGCCACAGTATCTTGGATTTACTGCATGAGTTACATTTTCCTCAAGGGCTTTCTTCAGGCAAAGACACAGCAGGCACTTGCCTCTGGCAGCAGATTTTTGGGAACAGGAACATAGTTGTGGTTCTGTTGCCCGCTTTGCCTGTGCCAGAGCCCTGGAAAGTGACGGCTGTTCCTGTATTGCAGGGTGGAGTCAGATGTGGGGCAGCACTGCCAAGAAGAAGCTGATTATTCAAGCAGCAGCAGTCACCATCTCACTCTCTCCCTGGGTGCTTGAACTACAAGCCCAAACCCTGCCTGGATACCTAACTCCACACCTTTTACTGCCCTTCCCAGGATAGGGCTGGACCAGCCTCACTGCTTACCCTTGGGTTTGATATTTCTTGTGCTGTCTGGAAACTTGGAGCTTACCCTGCTTCTCATTCATAGGCAGTTTGGGTATCTCATTATCCTAACTAAGGTCCCAACAGTTTGGACACATCTGTAGCAGGTTTAAAAATAAGCACTTGAACCATCAGGGTGTCTTCCTTCACACATCTTTTTCCAGCACAAGCAGGATGAAACATTTGATTTGATTTTACAAACCTCAAACTTTTGTGCTACTCACATCAATTTCCTGCATGTTTATGGTTTAAGGTGCTAAGTCTCAGAAGAAAAACAGGTGGAAAAAACAGCTGCAATCTTGTGCAACCTGTCAGTAAATGCAGTATTGTCGAGACTGTGCTGGGCAACTGGGTGGTCTGTTCTGTCACAGAAAAGGTATTGCAATTGTTCATTTCTCTGCTCTTTGCTTCAGATTCTGTAAGTGAAGCTATAAATCCAGAGAGGCAGAAGACAGATGTAGACAGGCAGGTTTGGAGGTACATGCTTAAAGGGAGAGAAGGAAGAAAGGGAATCAGCAGTAGAGTGGATGAAGTGGATGAAGTAACAAGGACCACCTGAGAAAACTGAAAAACAATAGTTCAGAAATATTGGGAGACAAAGAGGTGAGCGGGCTGAGTGACTTCAGGTATTGCCACCAGGATGGGGATTCTGTCCCTTTTGAGTCAGGTGACTAGTAAGATCTGAAATTTGCCATTTAGCTTCATGGCACTTTTCATCCAGGGTTTAAAGAGGTGTCAAGAAGTGAATGAGCATACTGTGGTATGGACAAATGAATTTATTATTGGTACCTTTCAATTACTAGATAAAAAGATTGCAGAATATTTGGACTGGCCAGGTTACTATAGTTTTCATAAGTGGAAAGGATAATTTCCTATTCAGTACCATAACAAGATTTTTGTGTGTATGTAAGTACTGGCTAAAAGAATGAAATCATATTTGTGATTAAAGATTTTGGGGACAATTTCTGCTCTGAGCTAAACCCCCACAAACTCTAAGGTATTGCAGGGAAATTTGTCTTCATCTTATTAGAGCAAAGCTCCACAGGGTCCCTTGATTTCTTTCCTTTTCTTTGATCCACATACAATGACTTGGCTTTAATTCTCCAAAGCTTTTAGTGCACTGAGACCCAGCTACCTGTCTTGTTATTTGTGCTGAGTTTGTTCTCTGCTGCAGAGAATAAGATTTGAAATGCTCAGAACAATATGATTCTCGAGATGTCTTTTTGTTCCAAGATATGTGGATTGATGGCAGACTAGCTGAGATCAGTTGGAAGAAGATCTTCCAGTTGACAGTCTGTTACTTTGTCCTCAAAACTATGAGATCATGTGGAGAAAGAGGACAGAGATACTTGCACTTCTTGTTCCTTTAGAACAGTAAGTTGATGACTTAGTAAACCTTAGAAAGCAAACTCTGGAAGGATTCTTTCCACCCTTTTTAGCCATCACTGGCTGAAACCTGTGATAAATTACCTCCCTGGTTTGCCTGACCTGGATGAAATATTTATGTGCCTCTGGCTCAGCTGGCATTGATTCAAGAACTGCTGTAATCCCCTGCCTTCAGTTCACCTTCTGAACTTCA